CGCAGTCCATGTAGACCCAGTGATCCGGGAGAGCTCCCTGGAGGAGATCCTGAAGCCCTCGCCTGACCTGACCATCCAAAACCAGCTCCAGCAGCCCTGCAGCCAGGTTATCAGCCTGCAGAACCTTTTTGATGTGGATGCCTGCGGGCGACAGGTGAAGAACGTGGTGCTGTATGGCACCGTGGGCACAGGGAAGAGCACCCTTATCAAGAAGATGGTGGTGGACTGGTGCCATGGTCGCCTACCCCGCTTTGAGCTGGTCATTCCCTTCTCCTGTGAGGATCTGTCCCATAGCCATGCCCCCGTCTCCCTGCGGCGCCTCATAACCAAGAAGTACCAGCACCTCCGGGACGTGGTGCCGATGCTGGGCGCTTCCAACCTCAAGGTGCTTTTCATCCTCAATGGCCTGGAGCGCCTCAACTTGGACTTCCGTCTGGCTGGCACAGAGCTGTGCTGTGACCCCAATGAGCCTGTGCCTCCTTCTGCCATCGTGGTCAACCTGCTGCGAAAATATCTCCTGCCAGAGGTCAGTGTCTCCCTCCAGCTCCTTCATGCTGGAGAAAGGCTGAGGGTGAGCCCTGGAGCATTGCAGGCGTTGGCCATTGTGCTAATTGGTTGTAGTCCAGCTTAGCCATGAGCGAACAGGCAGCCTCCATTCCTGGAGGGACTCACCAAGGTGGCCTCATGTCACTGTTACTGGTTTGTCTCTGTGGGATTTTGGGGAAGCCTGGTAAGGCAAAGGCTGCAGTCTGCTGGGCTGTGGTCTTCCAGACTTGATGTATGTTTGGTAGGGGATGAGGAAAGCTCTTCTGTCCCCTCTGTCTGGGCCAGATTTGAACCAACACCCTTTGGGCAGCAGCTTCTTGAACTCCAGCCCCTGGGTGGTGTGATGCTTGTGCACCTACGCGTGGGTTATGCACTTGGGACCCTGCTGAGCTTAGATCAAAGCCGCAGAGGGACCACCTCCAAACTCACCCAGCCCTCTGCTTCCAGGCCAGCATCATTGTCACCACGCGCCCATCGGCAGTGCGCCGGATCCCCGGCAAGTATGTGGGCCGCTACGCCGAGATCTGTGGCTTCTCCGACACCAACCTGCAGAAGCTGTACTTCCAAATGCGTCTCAGCCAGCCTGGCTGCAGCGGGGAGGACAATGTAGGTAGCAGCTCAGGTGAGCAGGATAACTTGCTGGAGATGTTGTCGAGGAACTTGGAGCGCCACAACCAAATAGCCGCTGCCTGCTTCTTGCCCTCTTACTGCTGGCTGGTGTGCACCACGCTGCACTTCCTCTACTTCACCAGGACGGTGCCTCCCAGCCAGACCCTGACTGGCATCTACACCAGCTTCCTGCGGCTCAACTTCAGCGGGGAGGTGCTGGACAGCACCGACCCCACCAACATCTCCATGATGAAGTACGTGGCCAAGACGGTGGGCAAGCTGGCCTACGAAGGGGTGATGTCCCGCAAGACCTGCTTCTCAGAGGATGACCTGCAGCAGTGCTTTGAGGTGGAGATGAAGACTGAAAGTGAGCTCAACCTCCTGGAAGTCTTCCGCAGCGACGTCTTCCGCTTCTTCCTCACTCCATGTGTGCAGCCAGGCAAAGAGCACACCTTTGTCTTCACCATCCCTGCTATGCAGGAGTACTTGGCAGCCCTGTATGTGGTGCTGGGTGAGAAGAAGACCCTGGCACACAGATTGGGGAAGGAGCTGTCAGAGGTCATTGGGAAGGTGAGTGAAGATGTCGCTGTCGTTCTGAGTATCATCTCCAAGGTGCTTCCCTTGCGCTTCCTGCCAGTGCTCTTCAACCTGCTCAAAATCTTCCCTCGCTACTTCTCCCGGCTGAGCGGTAAGGACCGGGATGCTATTGCCCACACCATGGCAGAGGAGCTGTTCAAAGAGGAGGACTACTACAATGATGATGTCTTGGACCAGATCAATTTCAGCATCCTTGGTGTGGAGGGCCCAATGCGCCACCCTGATGAGGCTCCTGATGATGAGGTCTTTGAGCTTTTCCCCATCTTCATGGGTGGGATACTGTCCCGCCGTAATCGCGCCATCCTGGAGCAGCTGGGCTGCTCCATCAAGAACCTGGCAGCTTTTGAGATCGCCAAGGCCATGAAGAAGACGGTCATCAGGAACAGCCGCAAGGGGCTGCCCCCCTCCGAGCTGATGGACTACCTCTTCTTCCTGCATGAGTTCCAGAATGAGCGCTTCACAGCTGAGGCCATCCGCTCCCTCCGGACTGTCAACCTCTCATCTGTCAAGATGACCCCTCTCAAGTGCTCTGTCCTGGCATCCGTCATGGGCACCACATGCCACGAGGTGGAGGAACTGAACCTGACCTCCTGCAACCTTGACACGAGCAGCTTGAGGATCCTCTTCCCTGTCCTGCTACGATGCAAAGCTCTCCAGTGAGTACCACCTTCTTTTGCCCTTGGGCAGTGCTCAAAAATTGGGCTTTCCCTCACCTCTGCCCATCACAGGGATACACTAGGAGCCTGAGCATGGCAAAGGCAGGGAAGGGCATGCGTGCCCTTGTTTATCCTCAGTGCAGACCTAGGGGACTACAGCTTCCAACATGCAACACTCCTTGAGCAGCCCTGCTAGGGCACTGCATGCTGGGACTTGCAGTCCCAACACACCCTCCCATAGGACTCTCTGGGCACCTGGTACCACAGGCTGGGCTGCCAGCTCCCCTGGCAGACCCAGGTGCCTCCCACTGCTTGGCCTTCCAGAGCCACCCAGCATCTCCGTGTAGCTAGCTCTGCTACTTCTAACTCTGCGCAGGAGATACACAGCCCAAGGGTGGGAGTCTGAGCTGCACACAGGTTCTGTTCCAGTCCATTTGTGGAACTGCAGTCTTCCCGTCGCCCAGGGGGTGGCGAGCAGTGCTCAGCAGAGATGGACTCGGCTGTGTAGCGGGGCTGTGCAGCACTTCCTTCCTCCAGATGCTCAGGCGGGCTTGGTGGGGTCCTGATCCCTCCTCGGACCTTCACCCACCCCCTGCGGACCCTGCATCGCCTTCCCCTCCCTTGCTTCTGCTGGCACTGGCTCTGCTGGCTGATGCTACCCAAGCTGTGGTGCGGTTTCAGTGTGCTCACTTTTGGAGAGGAAGCCTTGCGTGGCCTTGTCTGGGGAGCCCAGGTAGGATGGTGATGGGGAGGGCCAGGGAAGATGGAGAGAGCAGGGTTGCCAGCCCCACAGGTAACAACCATTTCGGTCCTGCCACCCCCATGTCTCGCTCCGCATCAGTCTGCAGCTCAACAGCCTGGGCTCTGACGCCTGCAAGGAAATACGCGACCTGCTCCTGCATGACAAGTGTGTGGTGAGCAACCTGCGGTGAGTACTGCTTCTGTCCTTGCATGAAACTGTCTCTGCTGCCCACCATGTGCCCTGGGCCCCCTGCCGAGCCTTGGCACTGCCCTGAGCTCCTGTGTCCACAGGCTGGCAAATAACCCCGTGGGTGAGCAGGGAGCACAATACCTGGCCGAGGCACTGGCAGACAACCGCTCACTGACCCATTTGTCCCTGCTGCACACTGCACTGGGGGACCAGGGCGCCGAAATCATTGCTCAGCACCTGGCCAAGAACCAGCACCTCCAGGAGCTCAACCTGGGCTACAACTCCCTGACAGACACAGCCGCCCTGCACGTGGTAGAGGTGGCCAAAAAGCACGCGACGCTGGACAAAGTGCAGTGAGTTCACTGTCCCATCTCTTCCCTCTTGCAGACGATGCCTCTGACCCAGTGTCCCTCCCCGTGGCAGTGAGCAGGGAGTCCCTCTCTGCCTCTGCGTCCTGCCCCGGTCCTCAGTGTCTCCCATTCCTTTTCTCTCAACCCACAGTCTGTACTTCAATGACATCAGCGAGGATGGCAAGCGGGCACTTCACAGCCTGCGCATGGACCGGGACGGCGTCAGAGCGCTGGTCTTCCTTACAGCAGGGACCGACGTTTCCGACTACTGGTCTAACATCCTGAACGTGGTGCAGAAGAACCTACCTTTCTGGGACCGCGAGCGGGTTCGGCAGCACCTTGCCCTCATCCTGCAAGACCTGGAGAGCAGCCGGAGACAGACTGCCAACCCCTGGAGGAAAGCCAAATTCCTACGTGTTGAGAGTGAGGTCAAGAAGATGCTGGGGAAACTGCAGCATGGGAACCTCTAACCTGCTGTCCATCCACCTGGCCAAGGAGGGAGCAGTGCTGCTGGGGAGGAAACACTGGAGCGTGCCCCGGCAGCACATCCCCTGCGCCCTTATCCATGTGGAGATGCCTAGTGGTCGGGTGTTACCAAGGCTGTCAAAGGTGCTGGGTATGTGGGGCTCAGCCCTCATCTGCGGGCAAGGCTGAAGTGTGGGAGAACTGTATGGAGACCAGGCCAGGAGCAAATGGGACTTGTTCTTCTGGGCTTGTAGAGACACAGCCCCTGCACCCTGGCCACTGCTGGCCCAGCCACGAGCCACAACAGTGGCAGAGGGGCAGGACTCAGGCTTGCTTGTGAAACCTTTGGTAGCATTAAAGTGCACCGCTTTATTTCCACTGAAGCACACTGGTGCCAAGACTCGATCTCCTCTCTGGGCCCTTCCTGGGGCAGGAATG